AAAATTCGAGTTGGAAGTTGTGGCGGCGGAAGACCCGAAAAATAACGTGATTGTGGTTAAATCAATCACCAATGAAGAAAACACAAGTTTCAGTGTACCAGATGGTTTACAGTCGATTAAATATCATCAGCATCTCGCAAGTCTACCAGACTTCAAGAAAGTGAAAAAAACACTTGTAAAGCGGGGACAAACACGAAAGGTATGGTTTAATTTAGATAAAAACATACTAAGTATGTATAAAGACACTAGTGGAAATATGGTTATAGAAGATTATATTTTGGAAGAGATCCCTAACCTCAAAGAACAACAGCAACAACAGAGTACACCACAGAAATTAGATGAAAATCTAATAAAAATTCTAGAAAAATTAGTAGAAAAAAAAGAAAGTCAACAAAAATTGAAAAACAATCCTAATTTAAGCAAAGCTTCTGAAAAGTTTATAATCGACAAGTTCAATGGTAAGAATGTAAGTGTAAATCAATGGGTATCAACATATGAAAGTGAGTGTGACAGATTGAATATTACAAAAGATATTAAAAAGATTGAAATTTTAAGATTATTTCTGGAAGATACATGCAAAGACTGGTATAGCTCTATGTTGATTAAACATACGTTAGATTCAGCGTGGAACACTTGGAAGGAAAATTTTCTAGAGACTTTCGCAGACAAAGGATGGTCTCCAATAATTCATGCATTAAATTATAGATTTTTAAGTGGCTCACTTTTAGATTATGCTTTAAAAAAAGAACGTTTACTACTAGAGACAAACAAAAACATAGATAAATTAACTCTAATAAATTTGATCGCAGCAGGACTGCCAGCGTTTGTAAGAGAAAAAATTGATAGGCAAGACTTAAAAAATTCAGAAGATTTATTTAATGAAATCAGAAGATATGAAAAGATAGCAAATAAAAAGATGATTTATGAAAATAAATATGTAAAAGGAAATATGAAATCAGAAACAAAAAAGTATGATAAGAAACCATGTAGAATTTGTGAGGAAAAAGGCAAAAATAATCGTTACCACCCAGAAGAACAATGCTGGTACAAAGAAGAAAAAAGAAGATCTGAAAATAAAACTATAGGCGTAATGCCTAAGGATTGTGTTCGACTTGGTTGAAAGATTGAGACCAATTCCTTAGAAAAATATAATTTATTTTTCTTCGTCAGAGAAGTAGAGTAAAGTACAAGTTTTGTGTTTGATTTGATTAAGTGCGCCAGAGGCGCTTTCTCGGCAAGAGTGTAAGGCCGAGAATCAAAAGAAAAATTGACGGGCGCGGTAAGGAATTACCGGCCGCGTCTTAGTGTGTTGAACGGGTCCTAAAAAGGACGGTTCAACTGAGTTAGCTCGTTGCAGCCCCTTTCCCGGCGTCGGTGGAACTCCGTTCGGGAAGTGGTCTTCCGTCTGACAACTGCTCTCTGAGCAGGCTCTGAGCGGTGAAGTCTGTACTGCGATGGATCGAGTCTCTGGTGTGCTGGTGGTGGCAACCGTCTCGGCTCTCGGAATTACGGATTGCTCCGTGTACCGAGGAGAGAGAGGTCTCCGAATTCGGATGTCGCCTTGTGTGAGCGTGTCCCTTGGTGGTCGAGTCAACCGGACGCAGAACTCTAGTGGGATTAATTTCCACACTAGAGACTGAGGAGGTGACGGCGAAAGTGGAGTATCCGCGGGCCGCTTGGTTGAAATGTGCGGCCGATGCTGGGACTCTGTTTTCTTTTTACGCGCCTTGCGAGGCAGCGTGAGAAAAACTGCGAGACTATGTGTCTCTGGTTAGCTCCTGCCGAGGCAGAGTACGACTCAGTTCAAGGGCCCTTGAGAGAGCTCGCCTTGAAGCGAGTGAGTGAGGAAAGATCTGCGGAGCAGCTCTTTTATATCTCGTCGATCGAAGCTTGATCGCGAGAAGGCTCTTCACCGCTTGCGCAACCTGGCGGTGGGTCCGCAAGCTTGTAACTGGTAGAAGGCCTGCGGCGCGTAGCGGCGCCGCGATGTATTATACCGCGTCAGTGCAGCGGTGTGGCGGTGAGCCGCCACAAAAACTTTATCTACAAACTCAATATTGGAAGTGGAACTACTAAACACAGAGGACCAAAAAAACTTGAAGTCCCACCATTAATCATGGTAGATGTGCTGCTAAATAACGTGTTGAAAACCACAGGAGTATATGAAACATATGATACGCTTCATCGCGCGCCTAGTGATCGCGTAGCAGTGGGACGTCCTTCTCACCGCGCGCGCTTTACTCGCGCGGATTTGCCGATCTTTTTTTGTTAATTACTCAGTACTTATTATGAAAATTAAAAAATGGTAAAGGACTTTTCTACTCGATTTGACCTCCTCTACCTGTATATGACCGGTGGGGCGATTATTGCCAGACACCCTGTATATAATAATGACCGAATACAAGAAAAAGGTCTCCAGACTATTCGGAGCGGTAATCGGGAACTACCGAGAAAAGGTCACCGAGCTTTTCGGCGAGTTCTCCGATTCCTCCGAAGAGGAAGAAACCGAGGCCGCGAATTGGAAGCGGCTTCCAAAGCCAGGGACCACGGTCCAACGATCAGACGCGGACCAGCTCCGGAAAGCCGTTTGGCTCACAACACCGCCTCCAATACAACTGCGACGGCGAGTAAGCGCCACCTCCGCCTCTCGACACCGCCGGCCGACGTCAAAAGCCGTGCCACCAGCAAAAAATCCGGTAACAACGCCATCACTACGCCGGGAGATATTGCAGCGGGCGATGGAGACCCGGGCCACCATCTCAAAACCACCTGAGGCCCTAACCGCCGCCGAAAAACGCGCCCAAACGACTACCCGGACACCGATGACCGCTAATACCGGGACAAAAGGCGCACCGGCAGGGAAAGCAACCAATACCATTGCTCTCACCGGCAGCCGAGCGGCACCGAAGAACACCACCACCCGGACAGAAACTGCGACAAGGAGGCCGCCGACAACGCCGACAACAACCACCGCCGTCGCGCACAGAACAAATCCGGCACCGCCAAAATCTACTGCCACCCGAATTACAACGGTAACGAGGAGGCCACCAGAGACCCTAGCAACCGCCGCCGTTCCTCCTACCAAGGATCCAGCCCCACCGCCACCAATCCGGGTACGACTAGACGACGGGACAGTGGCGAGCGTCCCGTACCACGCCGCTTATCACTCCCGCAAATACCGAGCTTCTACGCCAACGGGCCGGTGGCTGATCCGGTTCGACCACGCCGGTCAGCCCCGGTCCACGCGCCGTTTATCAGAGAATAATTAAATTTTTCGTTTTCTTGGTACCGCTCTTAAGAATTAAAATTTGTTGCGTTCGTCATTTATTGTTCCGAATTTTTCTTTCCGAGTTCTAAGCGTTCGTTGAATTTTAGAATTAGATGTTTTTGTTCCAAGTTTTTATATATCCGGTTAGCGTTAACTATTTATTCCAAGTGTTCATTAAATTTAATTAATCGTTTATCGTTCAAGTATTTAATTACCGCGCCTAATATAAGATCTCTTAGATTTTATTACCGTTCTAATAATTTTAAGATTTATTAATTTTCACACCAATCAAGTAAACGCATCATAAACCGCATAATCTTTATTTTTTCTCTCAAAGCGTTTCTGGCTGAAATTGACTATTTACAGAATGGTATGTTTACTTTACACCGGGCAGAAAAATATGTTTATTTTCTTTTTAAAAGGGGGGAAGTAGTGTAACAGCACGCGCTGTTACTAAGCGGCACGCGGGCTCCACGTGAGCACCCCTATTTAGGGCCGCATTCCGATCCCCCAACTCGGGGGTAAAAGCTTAAGAAAGGGTAGCTGCCGGGTAGGGTAGCACCCCAAGTGGGGGTAGCGCGACCGGTATAAAAGTCGGCTCGCGGAACAGATCGAGACCCATTCCCCGAGTACGACTCGGACAAGCCTCAGGGCGCACTCTGAAGCTCCGATCGTACTCGCTCCCATTCCGATAGTCGTTCTAGGAGCAGGGCGTTCTCTGCTTTGGTCGGGTGTCCCGGCGTTCGACTTCCTGTACTCCGTCGTTCTAGGGGCAGGGCGTTCTCTGCCTCGGTCGGGTATCCCGGCGTTCGACTTCCGACTCTCCGTCGTCTAGGGGCAGGGCGTTCTCTGCCTCGGTCGGGTGTCCCGGCGTTCGACTTCCGATACCCTTTGCACGAGAGAAGTCTCTCACTGTCTTCGGACACAGCGTACCGGCAACCGTCAAATCAGCAAGGCTCGGATATACGCGGTATCGCTTATTTTTTATTACTTTGCTCCGTACCGTACGAACCGACCGATTAAATAATTTAATTTGTTTATAATTCAGCCAAAGGCGCACCAACGATTTACGCCGTTTATTTTCCTTTCATTATTCATTCGTTTACAATTAGAATTATACACATGTACCGTCGAAATATTAACTCGTCTAACCGATAAGGAATTATTTCCGATAGTTGTATCCGATTATACCGTTAAGATATTAGACCGTTCCAGAAATACACATGTACTCGTTGTTACTATTTTCTTTTATAATTATAATGCTCTATTGAATAAATAGTTATTTTTCTTTAAATTATTTTTGGTTAATTTGGAGTCTCCCGATAAACCACATGAACGAACTCTGGCAAACCGACGAGTTATTCCGCGTCGTAAGAATCCGCTTTGCTAACTACGCACCGTCGTAATTCCGCATCGAAAAAATCCGCATACCGTCAAAACCGGACCGCATCATTACGCATCGCCCGTGAGGCGTAAAAATACGCACCGTTACAAGTGTTTTTTGTGTTCGTTTTCGTCGTGAGACGCTACCAGGATGTCATCAATGTAGGCGTAGCAGAAATCGAGTCCGCGTATCACCTCGTTGATGATCTCTGGAACGTTTGAGCTGCGTTTCTCAAGCCGAAAGGCATTTTGAGAAACTCGAACAGACCGAAACGGTGT